CGCAATGGAGGGATATGGACAGTGTAGAGGCAAAAGGTTCTTAGCTTAGAAAGGCATCATGTGTTAGTGCAGTAATGGTGGGTGGAAGAGCCTGTACCTGTGCTGTACAGTTCTTTGAGAGAGACAGATTTTTAAATTCTAAGGGAATCAAGAGGTATGGGTGAAAAACAGGTAAGTGGAGTTAAGGATTACCAGTTCAGCTAATGATTTCATTGAATGACAGAGCAGATGCAATGGTCTGAATGGCCTACCTCTGTTTCTACGTCTCATGGTCTTATGGGATTTGGACTGAACTGAAATGCATTATTGGTGGGGGATTGTTTCTGCCATATGCTAAAAGATGACAATCTCTCTATAAAGAACAGAAACCCTGTAAACAGAGCTGCATATTTTAGTTTCTCAACTCTAGTCTGAGGGACGCTACTCCAGCATGAGACCTTGTTATCTAGAAACATTCACCTAACAATCATTTGTACTTGTCCAGGTGAAAAGGCAGGTTTGGGAAGAACAACCATTTCATAGATCACATGAGATCATTTAAGATAGGTTGGATGCCTTGTTGGGCAGTCCCTACATTGATACTGGAAGCTCAGGTTATGAGTCAGGGCTTGTTGGCCATGGAAGGCCATGGTGAGCAGACAGGTTGATTATCAGCCTGTAAATCCTTACGATATACCTGGTCGCAGGTGGTAAGAGCAGGAGAATCTCTGGTCAGCAATAACAAACCACGGCAATACTTTGCCCATAAGCATGGAGCAATCAATGGAAGTCCATGGCCAAACCTTGGAATTGAGAATAGGAGAAAAGATAGCCAGTTATTGGATACATGACATAGAAACAGGCCATTCAGCCCAACCAGTCCATGTTTATGCTGCACTCGATCTCTTTGCGATTCTTTCTGTCTTTCTTATCTTAACCTGCTATCGTAACTATCCATTCTCCCTCATGTGCTTGTGAAGCTTCTCCTTAAAGGTATCAATCTTATTCATTTGCCTCATTACCAGTGATAATGAGTTCAATATTCTCACCACTCTGTGGAAAGAAGCTGCTCCTTATTGGATTTCTTAGTGATTATCATATTCACATGCCTCTCATAGTGTTCTTTCCCAAAGGGGAAATATTCTGTCTGTATCCAGTTGATCAAAACCTTTCATAGTTTTAAAGTCCTCCATTAGGTCATCCCTTCTTCATTTTCAACAGAGCAGAGATCCAGCTTGTCAATCCTTTCCTGATATGTTTATCCACACCCTTTTTCATATCACTGTAATAAATCTTCCCTGCACCCTCTCCAGTGACTTTTTATATTCTTTTTACAACATGGCAAGCAGAACTGAACACAATCCAAAAGGTGCAGGCTAAACAAAGGTTCAATATATGTTTAGTTTACATTGCCTACATTTTAATGCTATTCCTTTAGAAATAAATCCAAATGCTGTATTTGTTTTCCATCATCTTGTGAATTTGTGGTGCAGTCTTTAGTGATTAATATATTTCTTCATGACCCCTCTGTTCCTCTACCCAACGCAAACTTGCATCTTCAAAATGACATCTGTATTTTTCCAACCTAAAATGTTTGTCCGTGTTGAAATTCACTTGCCAATTATTAGCCCATTCTGTAATTTATTAATGTCTTCCTATAAGTTGTTGCAAACCTCCTCAGTAGTAACTACCTTATGACCTCCAATTAGGTGTTATCTGTAAGTTTAGAAATCATTGATTGCAAAGTCCAAATTGTTTAATGTATAGTATGAATTACATTGGACCCTGCACTGATCTTCTCAATAACTATCCCTTACTCTGACTCTCTACTTTCTGTCTTGAAGCCAGCTAGAAATCCATTTTGCCACTTGTCCCTGACTTCACATTCTCTAACCGTAAGTATTGCTGAAGGAAGACACGTTTTTGTCAATGCTTTTGTTCTTGCTCTCAAGACAATTTGCAAGAATACCAAAGTAAAGGGAAAATAATATTTACACTGTGCAAGAAGAGAGTACTGATTGCTTGGGTCAGTGGATTCTGATTTTAAATATACCAGGCAATGATGACTGACAGTTAACTGTCAAATCTTGAATTATGCCTAGTTGATTAATATTTGCAGGATTCTGAAATGACCTATCCGATTTTCACATGCAATATGAACATCTGGTGGCATTGTGAAGCCTCAAGACCATCTTGGATGTACTTAACAGTAAACCTGATTTAGGCACAGGGATAGTCATCTTTAACAACTATGACTACATCATCAAAATATGCACCATTCTTAATGGTGGGTTCTAAATTGTACCTAGAGTTACACTAACAGTGCTTTTAGGCAGACAGTTCCAGGATTTTGACACAGCAACAGGGAAGGAATGGCAATATAGCTTCAAGTCAGGATGAACTTGTGGTTTGGAAGGGAATTACAAATGGTGATGTTTCCATGTTTTTGCTGCCTGTGACCTGTTAGATAGTAGAGGTTGTAGGTTTGGAAGGTACTGTCAAAGAAGGCTTGGATGCTTTGATTGGTCTTCCTCACCCATGCATATTTTGTGATTTCTATCTCTTCCCATAGTATTAACTCGTATTGGGTACTCTCAACTTTTTCCAATGAAAATGAAAATGGTTTGGAGAGCTTTTCCTAACTTAGCCCTTCATCAGCCTATACCCTGTTACCCTCCATGATTCCCAACCCACCTACTGTGCCACTTTCCTTTCCTGAACATGTTTGATATGAGGTGTTTGTTTATAAACATTAAGCATTTTTCGGACCACAACCCAACTGCCCAGACTCCAGATGAGTGAGCCCACAGGGAGCACCATTGTAGAGATATAATTCCGTCTTTTCTTCTCTTGACATTCAGCTATTTCCCAGCAGGAATGACATATTGTTACTTTATCAGAGCATGGCTGAACATGTTGAGTATCAATGTGCAAATCCTTCTGACATGCCTAAGGCATGGGGTAAACACAAGAGTTTCCTGGTCAGCCAGACCTGCCACAGGCAATGGTAATACCTTACCAAGCAATAACTACAGACAAACATGGAAATTTGTAGTCACCAACATCCTCTTTAAGACTGGTATCTAATGAGCGAGAGAGAGATAGACAGAGTGGGTTCTTTTGTATGAAGTGTGGCGATTATCAAAGATCAAATCTAACACTCCTGTTGCACCCAGACTAAGATGACTTGCTCAAAGTGGAGTTAAGCCCAGACTTTGTTCACGAGTGTACCTTGTAATGGTGAAGAGAGGACTCCTCCAAACGAATTTTAAAATTTGTTCATAGAGACCAAAACACAGCCTGATAACCACAAATTTGCTGAAGTGATTCTTCAATGACAGTCACTCATTCAGCAGTCTAAAAGAGATAGGATGAAGAGCTGAGGAACTCACTCAATTTCCAACCATCACTATGCTGCACCCTCCATTTCACCTGCCTCATAGACAGTCTGCTTGATCAGTAACAACTCATCCAACCCATCTCCTGTTCCAGAGAATATTTCAATGGAGGTTAAAGGTTATGGAAATCTAGTTTCACCCATGTATTACTGAATACAATAGGCATTTGTTAACTCAGTCACACCCATTCATAATACGATGCAGGAACGAGCGCACTAAACTTGCCAAAGTTCCAGTGCACTGACTCTTCATTCCACTGGCACCAAACATAATAAAGTGAAAAAAATTATTTTAAAGGTACAAAATCAATTAGATATGATGAGACCTCACCCCAAATCTGAATAGTTCGAGATGGCCCTCCTCCTGCTTCTCGGCCTATCCTCAATCTAGAGGGACACGGGGGGAAAATAAACTGCACTACTCCCCACCCCCCAACCAGCTGGCAAGGGTGCACCTGACCCAGCCAATAGCCAACATGGGCACAACATAATAATAATCCTCAGGGAATTCCCCAGTGAGGCTGGATGTCACAAGTCAGAGTGCCAGCACTTGCCCAATAACTGCCATGCTAAGCTGGATAGCTCAGCAGATAGAGCTCACACCTCTAAGCCGCAAGGTCTCTAATTCAGGTCTCACTCCAGTACAGTATAGAGGGAGTGCTGCTTTGTTGAAGGTGCTGTCTTTCAGAAGAGAAGTCTTCACACTGTTCAGAGAAAGCAGAGTTAACGTTTTGGTCCAATGACCTTCTGAAGAACTCCGCTTTCTCTCCACAGATGCTGCCACACTGCTGAGTATCTCCAGCAATTTTTGTTTTTGTTTCTAATTTCCAGCATCCAGAGTTCGTTGAGTTTTCTTTTGTTAAACCTGTTGAGGTGGATACAAACTTCTGATGGCACCCTGAAGAGGAACAGGAGAGTTCTCATCTGAATCCTAGTCAATATCTGTTCCTCAACGAATATTACAATATCAATTTATCTGGACATTATCATGTCAATTACAGTCACCTTAAAAAAAAATGAGAAAATGAAGCAAAATCAGTTAGGAGCAGAAGCAGATTGAGTATGATGGGCTGAATAGTCTCTTTCTGCACTGTAACCGTTCTCTGATTCTGTAATTTTATAACCCATTCCGGGAACAGTATCCTGTTCTGTTAACATTAATTCACTCCCTCTCCCACTCCCCAGACATGAATGTGTTCTTCCCACTCCATAAACTCTCTTTTCTGCTCCCTAACCAATTTGTAACCATTCACTCATGTCCTAGTCTGTGAATATTAACTTAAGAACCCATCCCCACCCTTCTCAGAACATGAACACAGTCTCTTCCACTCAGTAAACATTAATTCACCTAATGCATCCTCAAATAAAATATATACAGATGCTGTAACCAGTATGTATTCCAATATAAACTACTTTACAATAGATCAGTCACGTGTTACTGGAGATCTCAATGCCACTTTATTAATATGACAGCATGATTAGCATATGTATAAATCTCTCTACAGGTTGGATATTCACATTGACTGAGTGATAGAACAGGTTCCTGACTCTGTACTGTATGATTGCTGTTGTAAACACAGTGCTGATGTATGTAATGTGAAAGTTACCCTTATTGTATTTCTAGCTGAGATGGAGCACACAACAAAGCTGTTAGATACTGATCACACTCCACCAATGAAATTCAGAGACAGGCAACGGTTCTTTGAAGACGTCTTCCAGCCTGATGCAGATTTCTACCTCACTGCCGCACACCTGCAAATTGAGCACCAGAGGCGTAAGTTAAATTGAGTGCCCAAATGATTGAACCTAGTATTAGAGAGCAAATGGTGGATGAGAGGTGACGGAGGTTCAAAATCATAATTCTCTCTACGCACATGAAGTAAGATTTGCATTGCTGTAGCACTCTCATGACACCAGCATGGCCTAAAGCACTTTACATGCAATGAAGTACATTTGAAGTGCGGTCTGTGAAATGTAGGAAATGTAGCAAACAATCTGTGCATAGCAAGATCCCACAAAACAGTAATGTAATAACAAGCAGTTTTAATGATACTGGATGTGGGATAAATATTGACCAAGATACATAGGAAAAACGTTGGACAAAGAGCTTAGGTGTGGGACTAGGTAATTCAGCTGTTTGAGCCTACTCCACTGTTTAATGTGGTTGTAGTTTCAACTCCATTTTCTTTGCTGCCCTCCCATAGCTTTTTGATTGACCAGGGATCACAAGCAATCTAATCCGAACTTGAACAATTTCAATTATCCAGCCTTTACTGTTTTATGGACTGATAGAATTTTACAGTACTGAAGGAGGCCATTCAACCCATCGTGTCTGTACCAGCTCCTGAAAGACCTACCCAGCTAGACCCATTCTCCAGCCCTATCTCTGTGGCCCACTAACTTCATCCCTTTCAAGTATATATCCAGCTCTGTTTTGAAACCTCCTATGGAACCCACCTCCGCCACTCTCCCAGGCAGTGCATTCCAAATCCCAACAACTCTCTCAGTAAAGAAGTTTCTCCTCATCTCACTCCTGGATCTCTTGCTGACAATCCTGAAATTGTGACCCACAATGACTGACATACCAACTAGTGGAAACAGAATATTCTTCTTTACCCTGTCAAAATTGTTCATAGTTTTTAATCTTCTTTGCTCCAATGAATGTAAGCCCAATCTCTCTAGTCTTTCCTTGTGTCTAAAATCCCTCATTCTAGCAAATCTCCTCTGCACTCTCTCCAGGGCTTTAACATTCTTCCTTAAATAAGTTGCCCAGAACTGAACACAATACTCCAAATGTGGTCTGACCAATAGTTTGTAAAGCTGTAGTATCACTTCCTTGCTTTTATACTGTATTCCTCTATTTATAAACCCTAGGGTCCTATAAGCCTTTTTAATAACTGTTTCAACTTGCCCAGGCACCTTCAGAGAACCATACACATGAACCTGAGTTCCCTAATCTCCTGTACTCCCCTCAAAGGTGTACCATTGAGCCTGTATTGCCTCTCTGTGTTTCTTCTGCCATAATGCATTACCTCACATTTCTCTGCATTGAAATTTATCTGCCAGGTGTCTCCCCATTTGGCCAACTTTGTCAATGTCCCTCTGAAGTTGCTCAGCATCATTGTCACAATTCATTACTTTCCCTAGCTTGGTTCTTCCAGTGTCGCTGGATCAAAATCGTGGAACTCCTTCCCAAACAACACACTGTCCTAAGAGGAGAAAGTTTGAGTGGGACTGAATGGGAATTAGGGAGCGAGGGGAATGGAACACCTGAAAGTGGAGAAAGAAAGCAGATATGATGACGGAAGGAACTGGGGGTGGAGGGTGGAGATGAGAACAATATACAGCGAAAGAGGAAACACATTAATGGGTTTGGGTCCGGAGTAGCAGACAAAACATGGATGGGAATGGAGTTGGAGACAACACAGATCTGTTTATGTTCAAATTTAAGACCTGGTGGCAAACAGAAAATTGGTGATAATAGGACAAGTTTAGGAAAGAGCAGAGGTAGCAAACTGAAGAAAGGAAAGGGAAAAGTCAGAGGTAGACCATGTAAGGTGAGGAAAGGATGAGAAATCAGAATAAAGTTAATGAATGACAAGTGTCAAGATGACAATGTGTCAGTTTTATTCACTCACACACTATTTCTAGTTTAGATGAAGACATTAAATGAGCTGTCCCACACACCTTCATTGCACTGAAGGTCAGGATTCATTTTTAAGACCGATTCGACAATAATACAACTCAAACATAAGAGGAGTGCAAGTCTTCATAAAACAGATCCTGTAATATATATATAAAATATATATAATAGGATTTAAAGCAGAACCAGCTATATCCATAAACTACCAGACTTTGATCATCCCCATGCCTGGGAGCTACAGTAGATTTGCTGATCAGGAAACACAGATGCATTTGTGAACCATTCAGCCTTTGTCTTCTGAGCCCTTAAAAGTCATGTTACCTCGAGACACCCAAAGGCTAATAGTGGAGAACTATGTTGTTCAATCATTTCACTTGGTTGCTGAGGAACCATGTGATCTCTCTACTCTGAGAACACTGATAAAACAGAATCCAATTATATTCTGACATTAAATTGTATGAAATAATTTTCTGGAATAATATCCTGTAACCAGGAAAGGGAGAAAGGCTTCTGAATCATGGTGTCATATATCTGGGTTACAAGTACTGGTATAGACTCTTTCTCCCAGTTATAAGTTTACTGTTATTGTGTATATATGGAGTGACAAGTATGTTAATGTGGCAATCACTAAAATCAATGTTATCATCTGCCCTGTCTTATAAATTAATGGGATATATTCCTATAAAGTTAAGAACATTGCACAATGTTTAAACTAAAATTCGTATCCTTTGGTACAATAGGTGCATTATATCATTGCTGCTCTTAATACTAACGACGCATTCTGAAGAAAATGAACAATATTTGTAATGAGATACCAACAAAAAGCATTATTATTTTACTAGGACCTTGCTGTCATTTTTGGTGAATTGACTGATGAATCTGGAAAAGGGAAAGATGGAACATGCTTTATTGAGGGGGAAGGTTAATGGAGATGTGGAGAATCATGCTAAATTGTCCATAGTGTCCGGGGATGTGCAGACTATGGGGCCATTCATAGGAAATGCAGGGTTACAGGGATTGGGTGGGATGCTCTTTGGAGGTTTGATGTGGACTCAATGGGCAAATTGGCCTGCTTCCACATTAACTTACAGAATCCCGACAATGCCAGAGTTTGTCTCTAATAAAATAAAATGTAATTAAATTACCTACGTGGTTCTGCTCAGTCTAGATACACAGCACTTCAAACCACACACTTTACTTTTGGTCTATCTAAGGTAATAGGCTCACTTTATCTCAAAAGGAATAATTAGTACCTGTCTGAGATAACCATGAACTAATAGTGCACTGAACACAGTATTTTCCGACATAGAATTCTCCCAAATCAGATATACAAAACAGGTCTCAAAATCAAGTTTACTTTTCTATTTCCTGTTAAATGTAATCTTTTCACACTGAAATGATATGTGAATCGGGAGTGAAAGTGGTCAGTTAGCTGTCATTGTAAATTTCTTAATTATTATGCATGTCTGACAAGCCCATTGGGCTAAGGTGTTAAAGAGCTAACAGCATCCATAAAGCTACATCCTGGTCCAAGCTTTCAGGCAAAGAGAAACCAGGGTCTAAAATAAGAGAGTGTGGGTGATTTCATGGCAGGGAAAAGGGGCCTGGATTTCTCCATCATCCATGCTTGAGGCTTTTCTATTTCCCACAGCACCAATCGGGAGTGTCTCCTCCATGGAGGTCAATGTGGACATGCTGGAGCAAGTTGATCTCATGGATATGTCTGACCAGGAGGCACTCGATGTGTTCCTCAACTCCAGCATGGATGGCTGTGAGACACCGACACTGCCAGGTAAGGAGCAGACTCCACACCAGCCTAGTGTTACAGGTTAGGGTGACTCAGGAATCCTGTGCCAACATGCCTGGAACATATAAGTCCCAGTGTCTCAGCATTAAAGGCAGCTGTGATTTCTCATACCCTATTCTGGGAAAGATCGGAGTCACTTCAGTCCTCTGTTATCCCAAGGAGTATGGAGAGATTGTGGCTCCACCTGTGCATCAGTAACAATACCAAGGCCTAACCTGTGTTAACAGCAGCTATTAATCCCAGGATGTTTGATAGTGTCCATTTTGGTGAGGGAGCAAATGGACAGTCTCCCAATCTTCCTTTGTTTTTAAGGATTTACTGATGCCACCAGCTCCTGCATTAACATGAGGAGGAGGTGCTGGATGTCTTGAAATGCATAAAGGAGGATATATCCCCAGGACCTGATCAGGTGTACTCCAGAATTCTATGGGAAGCTAGGGAAGTGATTGCTGGGCCCCTTGCTGAGATATTTGTATCATCGATAGCCACAGGTGAGATACCAGAAGACTGGAGGTTGGCTAATGTGGTGCCATTATTTAAGAAAGGTGGTAAGGAAAAGCTAGAAAACTATAGGCAAGTGAGCCTGACATCAGTGGTGGGCAAGTTATTGGAGGGGATCCTGAGGGTCAGAATTTACATGTATTTGGAAAGGTAAGGACTGATTAGAGATAGTGAACATGGATTTTTGCATGGGAAATTGTGTCTCATGAACTTGATTGAGTTTTTGGAAAAAGTAACAAAGAGGATTGATGAGGGCAGAGCAGTGGACATGATCTATATAGACTTCAGTAAGGCGTTCAACAAGGTTCCTCATGGTAGACTGGTTAGTAAGGTTAGATGACACAGAATAGAGGGAGAACTAGCTATTTGGATACAGAACTGACTCGAAGGTAGAAGACAGAGGGTGGTAGTGGAGGGTTGCTTTTCAGACTGGAGGCCTATGTCCAGTGGTGTGCCACAAGGATCAGTGCTGGGTCCACTGCTTTTCATCATTTATAGAAGTGAGTTGGATGTGAATATAGGAGATACGGTCAGTAAGTTTGCAGATAACACCAAAATTGAAGGTGTAGTGGACAGCAAAGAAGGTTATCTCGAGAACAACAGGATCTTGATCAGATGGGCCAATGGGCTGAGGAGTGGTAGATGGAGTTTAATTTAGATGTGTTGCATTTTGGAAAGGCAAATCAAGGCAGGACTTATATGCTTAATGGTAAGGTCCTGGGGAGTGTTGCTGAATAAAGAGACCTAGGAGTGCAGGTTCACAGCTCCTTGAAAGTGGAGTCACAGTAGATGGGATAGTGAAGAAGGCTTTTAGTATGCCTTTATTGGTTAATGCATTGAGTATAGCATTTGGGAGGTCATGTTGCAACTGTACAGGACATTTGATAGGCCACAATTGAAATACTGTGTGCAATTCTGGTCTCCTTGCTATAGGAAGGTTGTTGTGAAACTTGAAAGGGTTCAGAAAAGATGACAAAGAAGTCATAGTCATAGAATCCCTACAGTGTGGAAACAGGCCCTTCGGCCCAACAAGTCCACATTGACCCTCAGAGCATTCCACCCAGACCCATCTCCCTATAACCCATCTACTCCACACATCCCTGAACACAACAGGCAATTTAGCATGGTCAATCCACCTAGCCTGCACATCTTTGGACTGTGGGAGGAAACCAGAGCACCCAGAGGAAACCCGTGCAGACTCGGGGAGAATGTGCAAACTCCACATTACCTCAGTTATCGATTTTATAGCCCGATCGATGGATTATAGCCCGAGGATGGAATCGAACCCGGGTCGCTGGCACTGTGAGGCAACAGTGCTAACCACTGAGCCACTGTGCTCAGATGTTACCAGGGTTAGAGGGGTTGAGCTATAGGCAGAGGCTGAATAGGCTGGGGCTATTTTTTTCCTGGAGTGTTGGAGGCTGAGGGGTGATCTTTTATAGAGGTTTATAAAATCATGAGGGGCATGGATAGGGTAAATAGACAAGGTCTTTTCCCTGGGGTGGTCCAAAACTAGAGGGCATAGGTTTAAGGTGAGAGGAAAAAGATTTAAAAGGGACCTAAGGCGTAACCTTTTCACACAGAGGGTGGTGCGTGTATGGAATGAGCTGCCAGAGGAAGTGGTGGAGCCTGGTACAATTACAACATTTAAAAGGCATCTGGATTGGTATATGAATAGGAAGGGTTTAGAGGGATATGGGCCAAATGCTGACAAATGGGACTAGATTAATTTAGGATATCCTGGTCGGCATGGACGAGTTGGAACGAAAGGTCTGTTTCCATGCCATACGTCTCTGTGACTCTATGACTCTAACTTGGTTTGTTTCTTCCCACAGATGAACAGTTCTACAATAGTGAGATCACTATCAAAGTTCCAAATTCTGCAGAAACAAAATCTCGGATGTCATCCACTTCCTCCAACTCCACAGATCCCAACAGCCTGGAGTTCGGTAATGGTGATGAGACTCCAATTGTCCAGTCTGATGATGAAGATGTCCAAGTGGACACTGCATTACTTACACCGAACAAAAACAAAGACACTGAGACACAAGCTGGAAATGAAAGCTAACACTATGCCCAGCATCACATACAGAATAGCTCTTATCAATGAAATGTCTCTCTACTGTAATGAGAGGGCTGAAGCAATTAGCAGCAATAGGGATATTCCTGTATTTTCCAGATTATTGATTCACCGAATAATAGATATTTAAATCCCACCCATAAACTCCTGGTTACCCATATTCCCAATATCACACACCCTTCCAGTTAGACAGTCCCAGTCACATACACTCCTGTCACACACTCCAGGGATCCCTAGTTATGCATGAATTCAATGAAGCACAGTTAAATTTAACACACACGCAAATCTAACATAGAACATTCCTTTAAAGGTTGAACATATGTAGACAAGTCATACATACAGCCAAGATCATGGATGCAGTAAAAGCATGTAGACACAGATGGACACAGTCCAGTGTGGAACAATGACATTGGACAAATGACACATAATGCCAATGGTGACACCACAAACAGCTAGCATGAGGCAGACTAACCATTAGGCACTATAGTAACAGTCACTGTCAACTTTCTAACAGAGACAACTGAATGAATCCTTTAGCACCAAGCACTGATGTCTAAAAATGTGACCTTAGCTTGAGGAACTGACAGTATGTTGGAACACAGTGAACTGCCATTCAATAAATCTGCCATAAAGATGATGTCAGATTGTAAAAAGCTGCTCTGGAGATTTCTTTCTTAATAAATTTACGATGGCCAATCATTTGAATGTGCCTGCTCTGGGTTTCCATTTTGTCTGAGTTAGCAAAGTGTTTTACATATTTGGAAAAAATGAATCATCTCGTAAAAGGCCAATTTACAAACAGCAATAATGACAGCCTTTTCTTTTGCTCTATGTAAATGACTTAGATATTGGAACGGAGAGTGGAATTTTCAAAATTTTTAATTGATACCAAGCAGTGACAAAATGTGGATGGTATGCAACGTGACGTGGAATCATAGAAATCTACAGCACAGAAAAAGGCCCTTCAGTCCATTGTTTTCATGCCAGACAAACAACAGCTGCCTAACTATTCTCATCCCATTTTCCAACACTTGGCCCATGGCCTTGTACGTCATGGCATCACAAGTGCACATCTAAATACTTCTTCAATGTTATGAGAGTTTCTGCCTCTACCACCCTTACAGTCAGTGAGTTCCAAATCCTACCACTCTCTGGGTGAAAAAGCTTTTCCCTACATCTCCTCTAAACCTCCTGCTCCTTGCCTTAAATCTGTCTTCCCTGATTATTGATCCCTTGCCCTTCTGAAGGAGGAGGTGGAAGGGAAATGTAAAGGTGGAGCACACATTAGCAGGTCAGCTTTTACACTATAGTTTCAGTAGACAGAAATCAGTTCACGTCCCCACTGCGGCAGCTCAGGCTACCCTTACCAATGGCAGCCGGTATTCAGAGTCTCTGAGAGCTCCACTGGCGCTTGGACAGGGGCGGAGTTGGCCATCAGCACATGGGCACTGACTGAGATGAGGCCAATGGGTAAGATATATGAGCACATTCTGTGGTGTTCACAGTTCCATGTCCCCCCCTTCACCATTATCCCTCTGCTGGCCCAGTGTCGTATTCATCCTAACATTTGGCTAGACACCACCTTAGTGAAGGTCAGTATGTGAAACAATGGGTAAGCAGTCCATCATCCTGTCAGCACCCCAATCTTACCTTTCCTCCATGTCTTCTTAGACAGCCATGTTGCCTAAAGGCGACTGCTATCTCTGAGATAAACTTTCTCAATATTCCCTACACCATCCAGCTACTAAGTGATTAAGTTGCAATTTTCCATCCTTTCCACTGGTATAGACCATGCACAGGACACATCTGTCAGTTTCTGATCCCCCTCCAGCGTTCACTTTCCATTGATAGCACCAGCATCTGTGCCCTGCTATGTACAGCCATGCAAAGAATTGTGCCCTATGCTTCCCCTGCTCCCTTCACAAGGCAGATTTTACAAAGCAGTCCCCATCACCAGTAGTAATTCATGCTCATTTATGGAGTGCAAATCACAAAGTGAGCAGAACTAACTGCCTGAGTGGACCCAACAAAATGTGAGTATTTGTCCTGGTATCTGGCTGTAAGGTTATACCTTCAGAATAAATGAGGTCCCTTGAAATTGCACTCAGTGATGCCCTGCAACACTGGCTGCATGTGATGAAGACTTTGGAAATAAAAATGAAGGGGACGTTTTAGTTTTGGCAAACCATCACCATTGTCAATCTTCTCAAGTTTGAGTTAACCAATGAAAAAAGATTGAATGTGCGTGCCTGGGATATTTGTAAATCTGTGTCCAGCGTGCTGTCTTTCCATCTCTGACTGAGCAGAATGTAAATTTACTGGTTAATTCCAATTACACCCTCAATAGTTGTACTTTCTGTGGCAGCCTGTTTCCCCCAGATCTCTCCCCTCATATTTTGTGCTGCCTTCTTTAAGGAACACAAAGACAACCTGTGAGTGAATGAAGGTGAGAGAGCTTTGTCTGATGAATACAGTGCATTTGGTGAAAGTGACTCTGAAATACTTGGAGCAGATTTCATAGGAATTGAGAGTGAGCTGTAAGGATAATGGATAATTGGCCTAGTGAGGAGTGAAGGCTGAGTGCTCCTGCAAGTGTTCAGAGTGATTTTATGAAAAACATTTTGCAAGGCAGAGTGAAAAAAAAAGGTGGCAGGTGGGTTAAAGCACTGACTGTAGGTGAATGAGCAAATTGAATAATGTTTTGGAGATGTTTTTTCCTGACCTGGTTTAGTTATTAATAAATCAATGTCCTGGTTACCACATTCCTGCTGGCCTACCTCTCTTGTGAGAGCTGCAGATTCTTCCTCCTGTTTCTTGGGTGGGATGGGTAGTGAGATTGAAGACCCTTCCACTCGTACTAACTAAACACAACAGTCATTCCACAGTCGTGTAACTGTAACTGTATCTGGATTCTGTGCTGTACACTGGTGCTTTCCATTTGGAATAGCTTTCCAATGGAAAACTACTTTCCATTCTGAGTCCATCATAACACATGAAAATTAATGCTACCACAGACGTCAACAAAATCAGTATATAGAGTCAGAGAGATGTACAGCACGGAAACAGAAACTTCGGTCCAACTCGTCCATGCCGATTAGATATCCTAATTAATCTAGTCCCATTTGCCCGCATTTGACCAAATCGCTCTAAACCCTTCCTATTCATGTACCCATTTTGATGCCTTTTAAATGTTGTAATTGTACCAGCCTCCATCACCTCCTTTGGCAGCTCATTCCATACACGCACCACCCTCTGCGTGAAAAGGTTGCCCTTTAGGTGCCTTTTCTATCTTTCTCCTCTCAACTTAAACTTGTGCCCTCTAGTTTTGAACTCCCTACCCTGGAGAAAAGACCTTGACTATTCACCCTATCCATGCCCTTCATGATTTTATAAACCTCTATAAGTTCAACCCTCGGCCTCCAACACTCCAGGGAAAATAGCCCCAGCCTATTCAGCCTCTCCCCATAGCTCAAACCCTCCAACCCTGGCAACATCCTTGTCAATCTTTTCTGAACCCTTTCAAGTTTCACAACATCTTTCCTCCGGCAGTAAGACCAGAAATGAATGCAGTATTCCAGTAGTGGCCTAACTAATGTCCTGAACAGCCACCACATGACTTCCCAACTCCTGTACTCAATGCACTGATCAATAAAGGCAAGTGAACCAAAAGTCTTCTTCACTAGCCTATCTAGCTGGAACTCCACTTTCAAGGAATATAATTAAAGTTTATCAATATATAATAAATATGGAAATATATGTTTTTATGATATTTTGTAAAATTATTATTATTTTATGTACTCACGAATACATTATTTCATCTGAGCTGCTTCAGCCCATGCTCCTCAGCCAAGACATAGCAGCTACTATTAATATTTGTAGTTTTTTTTAGTATTTCTGATCTGTAGCAACATCACACCAAAGATCCCCAAATTAGGCCATCTTGGTATAAGCGATCTCAATGTGAAATGAGTCAGATAAATGCTTCATTTTCCACGCAGTTACCTTCCATGAGCTGGTCTGTCCAGTTTTAGTGAACTATGAACATTCTCTAATCCTCTGGTTGCTGTAATAATTGTAATTACTATACAATTAAACATAATTTAAAGATAACCTTTTGAAAATAAACAGTCCTTTAACTCTTTTGTGGTAAAATTTTCATCAATGCACTTTAAAGGGAAGGGGTAATTGACGGAGTAAGGCCTGAGAGAGGGAAATGCAACACCGTACATTGGCCTGAATGCCATAGCATTGACACTTTTTAAAGTCAATTAAAAGAAAGCCTGATGGAGAAATGGGCAAGAGTACTGTTACAGACAATATTTCACTCCATTGTATACTAATCACTCCCTCTACTGGTAATGTCAGAAAGAAGCCATGCATCTTAACTGGTAAGTTATAAATGAGCTATGTACCTGCCAACAGCCCATGATTCACTCAGATAGCATTTGCAGTCAGTTCTTGCTTCACCACGTTTTCAAATGAAAATTGCTGCTGATCAATCATGAGCGAGGGTGAAGAACACTTAAACCATGGCAGGAGAATAATGGGAGTATAAGTTAGAGAAAGGAATGTTTTGGTGTGAGTAACAGAGAAAGGTCCCAGGGTGAGGGAGAGATGCAGAACAGGTTCACTTTGAGCCAAATAGAGAGAAAAAAAGAATTACTGCAGACATTTCTCCTTAATTCCTTATTGCATTTATTGACGATTATCTTTTATTGTTGCCCCTGTACAGGACTTATACAATAAATGGTAGGGCCCTGGGTAGTGTTGTAGAACAGACCTAGGGGTTCAGGTACATAATTCTTTGAAATTTGTGTCATGGGTGGACAGGGTGGTTGGGATGGTGTTTAGCATGCTTGTCTTTATTGCTCAGACTTTTAAGTATTGGAGTTGCGGTGTCATGTTGAGCTTGTACAGTATATTGATGAGGCCTCTTCCGGAGTACTGTGTGCAGTTCTGGTCGCCCTGTTATAGGAAGGATATTATTAAACTGGAGAAGGTTCAGAATAGATTTACCAGAATGGAGGTTTTGAGATATAAAAATAGACTGGAAAGACTTTTTCACTGGAGCGTAAGAGGTTGACGGGTGACCTTATTGAGGTTTATAAAATCATGAGGGGCATAGAAAAGATGAATGACAAGGGGCATGGACAAAGTGAATGACAAGGGTTGTTTTTCTTCCCTAGGGTGGGGAGTTCAAAACTAGACGCCATATTTTGAAGGTGAGAGGAGTAAGATTTAAAAAGGACATGCGGGGCAATGTATGTGGAATGAACTGCCAGAGAAAGTGGTAGATGCAGATACAGTTACAATGTTTAAAATACATTTGGATAAGTTCATGAATAGGAAAGGTTTGGAGGGATATGGACCAAGCACAAGCAGATGGGACTAGTTTAGTTTGAGAACATGGTCAGTGTGGACTGGTTGGACCAAGCGGTCTGTTTCTGTCATATGACACAATGATTGTTACCCACAAGTAGAAACGTTCTCTCTGTAACCATATTAACAAACCTTTCAAAATTTTAAAGGGATCTGGCATTTTTTTCATCGAGATAGAAGACTTCTAAGCCATCGATACTTCCCTGATATGTACATAGAACATAAGAAACAGAAGCAGGAGTAGGCCACCTGGCCCCTCGAACCTGCTCTGCCATTCAATAAGATCCTGGGTGAACATTCTGTGGACTCAGCTCCACCTACCTGCC